AGCAAGAGATTAGATATGATTTCAAACACGTAAAATGTAGGAGGAGGGGAATAAAAAATAGAGCTTTTAGAAAGAGGTCAAGCTAAAGAGTCTATCAGCTCAATATAGACTGCTATATAGATAGAATATTGTATAGGAACTTCATGGTAATCATAAACCAGAAATCTATAATAAGTAGGAAAATAAGTAAGATGAAAGAAATCAAACATATTACTAAAGAAAACCATCAGATCACAAGGGAAGAGAAGAGAAAAAGAAAGGGACAGAGAACAACTACTCAAACACTCAGAAAAAAAAAGTAACAAAATGGCAATAAATACGTATTTATCAATAGCTACTTTAAAAGTCAATGGACTGGGGCCGGCCCGGTGGCGCAGCGGTTAAGTGCGCACGTTCCGCTTCTCGGCGGCCCGGGGTTTGCTGGTTCGGATCCCGGGTGCGGACATGGCACTGCTTGACAGCCATGCTGTGGTAGGCGTCCCACGTATAAACTAGAGGAAGATGGGCACGGATGTTAGCTCAGAGCCAGGCTTCCTCAGCAAAAAGAGGAGGACTGGCAGTAGTTAGCTGAGGGCTAATCTTCCTCCAAAAAAAAAAAAAAGAGAGAGAGAAACACTTCAGACCTAGAGACACTCACAAACTAAAAGTGAAGGGATGGAAAAAGATACTCCACGCAAATGGCAAAGAAAAGAAAGCAGGGCAGCAATACTTATATGAGACAAAATAGACTTTAAAAGAAAAACTATAACAAGAGATAAAGAAGGGCACTACATAATGATAAAGGGAACAATCCTACAAGAAGATATAACACTTGTAAATTTCTATGCACCCAACATAGGAGCACCTACATATAGAAAGCAATTATTAACAGACATAAAAGGAGAAGTAGATAGTAACAGAAGAATAGCAGAGGACTTTAACACTCCACTTACACCAACGGATAGAGCATCCAAACAGAAGATCAATAAAGAAACGCTGGCCTTAAATGACACTTTTGACCAGATGGACTTAGTAGATAAATAGAACATTCCGCCCAAGAACCACAGAATACACATTTTTTTCAAATGCACATGAAACATTCTCCAGGATTGATCACATAGTAGGCCACAAAATAAGTCTCAATAAATTAAAAAGATTGAAATAATACCATGCATCTTTTCTGACCACAAAGGTATGAAACTAGAAATCAGCTACAGGAAGAAAATCAGAAAGCCACAAAAATGTGGAGATTAAACAAGATGCTACTGAACAATGATTGGGTCAATGAAGAAATCAAAGGAGAAGTCAAAACATTCCTGGAGACAAATGAAAATGAAAATATGACATGGCAAAATCTATGGGATACAGCAAAAGCGGTTCAAAGAGGGAAGTTTATAGCAATTCTGGCCTACATCAACAAAGAATAAAAACCCCAAATAAACAATCTAACAGTGCATATAAAGAACTAGAAAAAGAAGAACACACAAAACCCAAATCAGCAGAAGGAAAGAAATAATAAAAATCAGAGCAGAAATAAATAAAATAGAGGCTAAAAAACAATAGAAAACATTAATGGAACCAAGAGCTGGTTCTTTGAAAAGATAAACAAAATTGACAAACCCTTAGTTTGACCCACCAAGGGAAAAAGAGAGAAGGCTCAAATAAATAAAATCAGAAGTGAAAAAGGAGAACTTACAACGGATACCTCAGAAATACAAAAGATAATAAGAGAATACTATGAAAAGCTATACACCAACAAATTGGATAATCTAGAAGAAATGGATAAATTCTTAGACACATACAACCTTCTAAAACTGTACCAAGAAGAAGTAGAGGATTTGAATAGAGAAATCACCAGTAAGGAGATCAAAACAGCAATCAAAAACCTCCCCAAAAATAAACGTCCAGGATCAGATAGCTTCCCTGGTGAATTCTACCAAACATTCAAAGAAGACTTAACACCTATCATTCTCAAACTCTCCAAAAAATTTAAGAGAAGGAGAGCCTTCCTAACTCATTCTACAAAGCCAACACTATCCTGACACCAAAATCAGACATGGACAACACAAAAAAAGAAAGTTACAGGCCAATATCACTGATGAACATCGATGCAAAAATCCTCAACAAAATACTAGCAAATCGAATACAACAATACATTAAAAAGATCATACATCATGATCAAGTGGGTTTCATTCCAGGGATGCAGGGATGGTTCAACATCCACAAATCTATCAAGGTTATATACCACATTAACAAAATGAAGAATAAAAATCACATGATCATCTCAAAGATGCAGAGAAAGCCTTTGGCAAGATATAGCATCCATTTATGATAAAAACTCTAAATTAAATGGGTATAGAATGAAAGTACCTCAAATTAATAAAGCCCATATATGACAAACCCACAGCAAATATCATTCTCAATGGAGAAAAACAGAAAGATATCCATCTAAGAATAGGAACCAGACGAGGAGGCCCACTTATTTAACATAGTATTGGAAGCCCTAGCCAGAGCAACCAGGAAAGAAAAAGAAAGAAAAGGGATCCAAATTGGAAAAGAAGAAGAAGAAGAAGTGAAACTGTCACTCTTTGCAGACGACATGATTTTATATCTAGAAAACCCTAAAGAATCCACTAAAGAATTTTAGAAATAATAAGTGAATACAGTCAAGTCTCAGGATACAAAATCAACATACAAAAATCAGCTCTGTTTCTATACACTAACAATGAAGTAGCAGAAAGAGAAATTAAGCATGCAATCCCATTTACAATTGCAAGACAAAGAATAAAATACCTAGGAATAAACTTAACCAAAGAGGTGAAAGATCTGTACACTGAAAACTATAAAACATTGTTGAAAGAAATTGAAGACACTAAGAATTGGAAAACTATTCTGTGCTCTTGGATTGGAAGAATTAACATAGGTAAAATGTCCATACTTCACAAAGCAATCTACAGATTCAATGCAATCCCTATCAAAGTTCCAACAACATTTTTCACAGAAATAGAACAAAGAATCCTAAAATTTATATGGAACAACAAAGGACCCTGAATAGCCAAAGGATTCCTGAGGAAAAAGAACAAAGCTGGAGGTATCCCACTTCCTAATTTCAAAATACACTACAAAGCTATAGTAACCAAAACAGCGTGGTACTGGCACAAAAACAGACACACAGATCAATGGAACAGAAGTGAGAGCCCAGAAATAAACCCACACATTTATGGACAGCTAAAATTCGACAAGGGAGCCAAGAGCATACAATGGAGAAAGGAGAGTCTCTTCAATATATGGTGTTGGGAAAACTGGAAAGCCACATGCAAAAGAATGAAAGTAGACCACTATCTTACACCCTGCACAAAAATAAACTCAAAAAGATTAAAGACTTGAATGTAAGACCCGAAATCAGGAAACTTCTAGAAGAAAACATAGGCAGTACGTACTTTGACGTCAGTCTTAGCGACATTTTTTCAAGTACCATGTCTGACCAGGCAAGGGAAACTAAATAAAAATGAATAAATGGGACTACATCAAACTAAAAAGCTTCTGCACAGCAAAGGAAACCATCAACAAAATGAAAAGACCACCTAACAATTGGGAGAAGGTATTTGCAAACCATATATCAGATAAGGGGTTAATATCCAAAATATACAAAGAACTCATACAGCTCAACAACAACAAAACAAACAACCCAATTCAAAAACGGGCAAAAGATCTGAACAGAGATTTCTCCAAAGAAGATATACAGATGGCCAACAGGCACATGAAAAGATGCTCAACATCATTAGCTATCAGGGAAATGCAAATCAAAACTACAATGAGATATCGTCTCACTCCAATCAGAATGGCTATAATTAACAAGACAGGAAACAAGTGTTGGAGAGGACGTGGAGAGAAGGGAACCCTCATACACTGCTGGCGGGAGGGCAGACTGGTGGAGCCACCATGGAAAGCAGTATGGAGATTCCTCAGAAAATTAAGAATAGATCTACCATATGATCCAGCTATCCCACTGCTGTGTATTTATCCAAAGAACTTGAAAGCACAAATGCACAAAGATACATGCTCCCTTTTGGTCATTGCAGCATTGTTCAGAATAGCCAAGACTTGGAAGCAACAGAGGTGCCCATCAAGGGACGAATAGTTAAAGAAGATGTTGTATATATACATACTGGTATACTACTCAGCCATAAGAAAAGATGAAATCCAGCCATTTGTGACAACATGGATGGACCTTGAGGGTATTAGGCCAGGTGAAATAAGTCAGAGGGAGAGAGTCAAATACCGTTTGATCTCACTCATAAGTAGGAGATAAAAACAACGACAAACAAACACATAGCATAGAGATTCGATAGGTGGTTACAACCGGGGAAGAGGGAGGCGGGAGGGCAAAAGGGGGGATTAGGCCCACATGAGTGGTGTTGGATTATAATTAGTTTTTGAGTGATGAACATCATACAAGCTACACAGAAAGTGAAACATATTACGATGTACATCTGAAAGCTATGTAATGTTATAATCCAATGTTACTGCAATAAAAAATAAAAATTTTAAAAATACAAGAAAATAATCTTAAAATAAAAATTTTAAAAATTATATTATAAAAGAATTTAAAAATAAAATAAAATAATAAAAACATGAAACAACAGTTGGGTGAAATTTAAAAAAAAAAAAAAAACAAAAGGAGAGAAAGGAACGCCCATGAATAGGGCTGAGAAGACCGACACCAAAGAATAAAGGGAGGTCACGCAGAGACGGGTCCAGAGCCCGCTTTCAGCCCTCAGTTGCCCCAGGCAGGCAGGGCTCTCTGGCTGAGGCATCTCCTCAGATACTCCTCAAGGTTTCAGGGACATGCGGACCTTGGCATAAGAGGCCTGAGCTCCGCTCAACACACAGGATTCCAGCAGGGGGCAGACGCCAAAGTGAAGACTGCCAGCCAGAGTCAGCAGCAACCTCCGCGATGAAGCTGAGCCGGGAGCACCCCGCCCCGCCCCGCCCCTGCTGTCAGCCCGGGAGACCCCAGGCAGAGCAAACCGGAAGTCCCGCCCCCGGACTTCCTCCTCCAGGCTGAGCCGGCTGTGAGGGGCTCGAGCTGAGGCGCGCGGACTCCAGTCCCCGGACCGAGGAGTCGCATCGGCTGCAGGTGTCAGGTGAGCCTCTGAGTGAGGCCAGGGGAGACCACCCAGCACGGGAAAGAGGGGCGCGCTAGAGCAGAGCCCCAACCCGGTCCTGGGAGGCCCCGGCAGTGCCCTCAGGCAGCCGGACCACGCGCTCGCTCTTGGGCGGTTTGTTGAGGTGTGGGCCTCTCCGCGCAGGGCTGAGGCTCTGACCTGCAGGTGGTCGAGAAAAGGCCCCTGAGTGAGTGCTGAGGGGACCCCACACCCCAGCCCACTAGGGACCGGCTCCCCGAGCCTCGGCGCGTCCCTCAGCCCTGGGAGGCCCCGGGCAGGGGCGGCCGGAAGTGCTGCTGACTGACTTGGGCTTCCGGGGTCTGCGGGAGGTGCGGCCTCAGTCTGAGGTGGGCAGGGCCGCGTCAGCAAAGGAAGGGGCCTGGGGCCCTGCGGGAGTGCCACTGGGAACCCCGAGTGCGTTCTGAGGGTTCCGCCCGCCCCAGGGCGGAGGGGATGGCACCGTGTGTAGCCCTTTGTCAGCTGGATGTCCTGGGCGTGAGGTGTCTCCGCACTTCCTTTCTGGGTGTCTCAGAGAGATGGGGCCTTGACTGGAGCTTGGGCCTCAGGGAACAGACGTCAGAGGGCACGTGACCAGCCACTATCCAATGTGAGGGGCTCAGGCGAGGATTGTAGACTGACGAATTGATGGCAGACGGGGCTCCCCAGAGCCCTTCCCCTGTTGTCAGGCCTGAGAGGGCCAGGCAAGGGGTGGCAGGCAGAGGCCACCTCTCCTTTCCTCCTCTTGGACTCGGGAAAGTAAAGGATTTGTTCTGCGTAGACTAGGCTAAGTCAGCAGCAGTCCCAGGCCCTGGCGGGTGTCATCGACTTGTGTCTGAAGGGCAAACTCACTGCATGAAAGTGTGGTCCCTCGGGTCACAGGGAAGCCTTGGGAGATGGCGAGCAGTGATAGCGAGACGAGCCCCCCGATCACTCCTCCGTGGTGTTCCCTGGGAACTGAGGCCTTATTGTGAGTGGACAAACTCAGGTCAGAAGGGTAAGTCCCAGGCCAGGCCAGGATTCAAGGTGAGGACCCCAAGACGAGACCATCTGGACCACGTACTCCAGAACAGAGGGTCACGAGGAAGCTCCTCCGTGCCCCTTTGGTCCACCCTGGGAGGGGTGACCACATATCAGACGACTACGTGTCATCGTTTTGGTTTTGGGGAGGTGAGGGCCTTGGTTTGAGGGAGTGACGTCAGGGAATTAGAAAAGGGGAGGTCAGCAGGGGGGATGAGTCTCATACACTGTCAAGATCCCAGGGGTAGACCTTGATTGAGCAAAGAGCTCACCATCCACTCCAGTATAGATGGCATCCCAGGACACCTGCCCTGCACTGTAGTCATTCTCTGGGAGGTCCTAGACGAGCGTGGTCAGAAGTCCTAACACTTCACACCCTGGAGTCCTCTGGAAGTGGCAGTCTTGGTCTGAAGGGGGCAGGTTCCCATTAGCATTGACGAGGGTGATGAGGCAGTGCAGGAGTCTATGTGGAGACACAGAGTAGGGCCTGAAAGGGATTCATCCCAGAACATGAGGTGATCAAATAGCCTCAGTGAACCTGGGCAAGGATCCCTTGACAAGCTGTCTACTCTCTTCCTTCCTGGCCATTTCAGGCAGGTGAGGTCCGTAGTCTATATGCATACATCACAGGAGGTCAGCAAATTAGGATTCCAGGGCTTGTAAACAGTTATGGAAAGAATTCTGAGTGAGGTCCGAGGGGTCCACCCACCCCAGGACAGAGACAGCTCCAGAGTGTCGAGCTCCTGCTGCTAGCCAGGGAAGGCCCAGTAGAGGTGGACGGACAGCGTCCTTCCTCAGTTCCTCCTGGGGTGTCTTGGGAAGATAAGACATTCTTCCGTGTAGGAGGATGAGCATCAGTTGAATATTATCAAGCCTGAAGCCCCACCAGTAGCCAAGGCAGGGATGCTGAGTGAATACTGACGACCACCAACCCCAGGAGAGTGGGGATCACAACAAGTTCAGCCCCGAACTGCTGTGATCCCTGAGAGGCTGGGGGCAAGGCAGTCAGGTGGACATGACCCTTCTTTAGCTCCTCCAGATCTCGGGAGGTGGAGGCTTTGGTCTGAGGGGGAGTGTATCAGTGAAAGGAGAGATCCCAGGACTTTCCTGGATTCAAGGGAAAACAACTGAGTGAGAAGCAGGGGACCACCAACACCAGTACAGATAATGTCCACAGAATGTAGCTCCTGGTGTCAGCCCTGGGAAACCCCAAGTTGGATTCCTGGAGGAGACACCTCCACACTTCCAACTCAGTTGTCTTAAGAGATGTGACTTTAGAATTTAGAGGCACAGCCTCATATTAGCATAGGGGAGGTGACCCAGGCCCTATCGAATACTAAGGTACGAAACCTGAGTTAGGACTGATGAGACCACCCTCCTCAGATCAGAAATGGGTCTACAGAGCCCAACCACACCTGCCTAGTAGGAACCCTGAGAATTCTCAGCCTTGGTTGGCTGGCTGCACCTTGTTGTGTATTCAGACTTCCTACTCCATATTCTTGGGGGACACAGCAACCGGGAGGTCAGGAGACCCCTAAAGCTGTATGTCACTGTTGGCAGAAGAAGCCCACTGGAGGTGGCTTATATCAGAGCCAGCACTGTGGAGCCTACCCACTGAGGTGACTCACATCTGCCTTCTTGCCCTTAGGTGGTGATTCCCCATTGCCCACCCTCCTGTCCACACTCCTGCCTTCTGCCACCGACAAGAGTCGTCATGTCTCAGCGTCAGAAGAATCCACGATGCTCACATGATCAACGCCTTCAGGTCCAAGGTACGACCCAGGACCTGGAGGTAGCTGAGATCTCCAGGGCTCTAGAGGAGATCTGTCTCTGCTCCCGTCCTCTAATGCCTGGCCATTCGAAGGAGCTTCCTGTTGCTGGTCTGCCCAGCTTTCCTGAGGGTTCTCAGAGTTCCTGCTCATCTTCCATTGCCATCGCAGCCGCCTCATCAAGCAAATCAGATGAGGGCTCTAGTAGCCAGGAAGAGAAGGATAGCACTTTCCAGGCTATCCCAGATCCCAAGAATGTGCCCAGAGATGCTCCAGCAGAGAAAGTGGCTTCGTTGGTGAATTTCTTGCTGCTCAAGTATCAAATGAAAGAGCCAGTAACCAAGGAAGATATGTTGAAGATTGTCACCCAGGAATATGAAGACCGCTTGCCTGAGATCCTTCTGAAAGCCTCTGAGCACATCGAGATGATCTTTGGCCTTGATGTGAAGGAAGTGGATCCCACCAACCACTGCTATGGCCTCCTCATCAAATTGGGCCTCACCTATGATGGCATGCAGCATGGTGAACAGGGCGTCCCCAAGACCGGCATCCTCATCCTTATCCTGGGTGTGATCTTCATGAAGGGCAACCGTGCCACCGAAGAGGAAGTCTGGGAAGTTCTGAATGTGATGGGCATCTATTCTGGCAGGAAGCACTTCATCTTCGGGGAGCCCAAGCAGCTTATCACCAAAGATTTCGTGAAGGAAGAATACCTGGAGTACCGACAGGTGGCCAACAGTGATCCTGCGCAATTTGAATTCCTGTGGGGCCCGAGAGCCCATGCCGAAACCACCAAGATGCAGGTCCTCGAGTTTATAGCCAAGGTTCATGCGACTGACCCAAGTTCTTTCCCATCTCAGTATGAGGAGGCTTTGCAAGATGAGAAAGAGAGAGCCCGAGCCAGAATTGCAGGCAGGGCTGTCTCTACTTCCCTGGCCACTGCCCGTTCTGGGGCCGGGTCTGGCCGTTTCTCCTGCCCCTACTGAAGCCTGAGGCAGGTTCTTCAAACACTTTGTGTTTGAAGAGGCAGTTAGTGTTGCTAGAATTTAGAAGTTAGTTCTGAGGTGGGGTTGAAAGGAGCACAGTGTATATGCCTATGTGTTCCTATATTACATGTGTAACTTGAAAAGCTGTTCTTTCATTTTTTGACATATGTACTACTCAAACGTTGTTTGTTTTAATATAGATTTGATTAGCTTCAAAATCTCCAAGTTTATGAATGATACTGGTCAGACACTTAATGCTACAATGAGGTTTAACAGTAAGAGCTTTGTTATTTTGGAAAACAAATTGTGACACCATCTGTCTTGTTTTGTCATCTGCAGTAAGATAACATGGTAAATCTATAGGCTTTTACTGGAAAGGTGAAATAAATCAGCTTTAAGATAGTTGGGTTCTGGAAATGGAGAACATTGAAAGCTTGGCTATTTATTGTGCTCTTATACCTTCTATTTTTTGTTTTATAAAATTAAGTTATATATGCATGAACTTGCTTTGCTTGTTTATCAATGTATAAGAAATAAATTGCAATAAATTAGAGCCCATGCTCACTGTTTCTTTTATTCCCCAACCTTCAATGAACATTTGCTCTTTGTAAATTACCACATTAATCCTGGAGATTCCAGGATAAACAAGACCTTGGAACTGCTCTTATAATTTTTACTTACAGGATAGGCAGTCCTATAACAATGACAGTGGGATATCTTCTAACATCTAAAGGGCTAGTGAAAGAAGGCATTAGCAGGTGAGTGGAGGGGTTCCATAAGAGAATGTCAAGTGTACATACCCTGTGGCAAGGAAATTTGGAGTTTGAGGAAGCTAGAATTCCTTCCATGATAGTTAATTTTAAGTTACATATGGATGTAGGACAAGATGAGGCTGAGAGGGTCGTGATCAGGTATGAGACCTTCAGACAGTGTGTCTGAAAGTTGAGACTCAATAAGCTGGAGTGGAAAACTATTCTTCACAGTTACTTTGGGATCATGGTTTAAAAAGAGAGAAATCTGCACCATGCAGGAATGGAAGTTGTTCTGTGATCTTGTCCCTGTGCCACTGAACATAATTCACAAACTAAGTCTTTCATGCACATTGTCTTCAAAGAATTTTTGAGCGGTAACAGTGATACTTTCTTGAGGTGAGATACCCAGAAACCACTAGGTTGACCTTGTTGCCTTTGGCTGGGAGAGCCAGAGGCTACTCCATTCAAGGGAAATTTTAAATGGGTTATTTTAGTATAATTTGGCATAGTCTAAGAAATGTTCATATTTTTGATGGGGGTGAGATTACTGAAAATAGGAGTGGTTCCAATGGAACAGAGGCTAGCAAGGTGAGAAACTGGTCCTTGTCACAGACTCTAGGAATTTCGAGTTGCAGCTAGCTGGAGAAGAAACTTCCTCCCCAATTATTGAAGAACACCACCTCTGAGCGGATCTGTCTTCTGAGGTGTACTTGCTAAGCAGCCTTTTGGTTGATCTCATATTCCATGTCCTACAGCACTTCATGTTCTCTGAGACATACTGGAGTTTTGAAAATCACATAGGTGACAGCGGTAGAATTGGTGGTCAAAATAACAGCACTAATAAGTGCCATTCATTAAAGACCTAAGGTATGCCAGGCACTGTGCCAGGTGCTTTATGTACATTTTACTGTTTCCGATAGTCCATCATGACAGGGCTAATCAGACTCCTCAAATGAAAAGCCTAAGATTTCAGAAGTTTGAGAATGTGCCGGAGTTCATAGGTCTGGTATGTGACAGTACCGAGGCTAGACTTCTGGTCTGAAGTCTTCAAAGGCCCACTCTGTTGCACTCCTGTAGCCTGAGGTCCATCTTCTGTCTTTTGATTCATCTCTCTTTTCACTCCTCCATAATGCCTCTTGGGATAAAAAGGACCTCGAATCCAAAGTACTAAAAGCACATAAAAAGAAGAAAGGTGAAAATGATAATCAAATACAATTTGAGGGTTGGCTGTGGGTTTCATTTACCTAGGGTCCTGCTCCCCTTAACCTCAGGGTTCCTTGAGAGCTGACTTTGCCTAGGAGCTGGCATTTTGTCCAGCTTCAGGTTTTTGTGTGTGAATTTATAATATGTCACCTCAGAATATGCCACGTTGGCATACTGGCTATTTTAATTAAAGGTACCTCAGAAACAGCTAGTGTGGGAGGGACACTATGACCCTCCTTTATCCCCCTGCAAACATAAGGTAAATCTCCCATGTGAAAGGGGCCCTCCCTGTACCAGGAGGGTGGAAGGCACCCTTATCACCAGAGACAGGGAATTTAGAGCAGAGAAGGCTGTATATAAATGAACTTGTTACTTCTTAACCATTTACTACCCCAAACCCAAACCCCTTTGCCTTGTCAACTCTTCACAAATTTATTGTTTCTTTGTCTAAAAGGTATAAAAACTTCGTGCTTTGGTTACTTCTTTGAGTATCATATTTTTGTGAGGCTCCTGTAAGTACTTATTTATGTAATTAAATTTGATTTTCTCCTGTTAATCTGCCCTTTTATTACGGAGGGAGGAGTCTCAGTGAAGGACCTAGAAGGGTAGAGGGAAAATTATTTTCCTCCCCTGCGTGTGCATTACAACACCTTCCTCCTGGGTGTTCTCCGGTGTGCCCTCTTGTCCAAATTGGAACCTGAACCTGCTGACCAGCTCTTCACTGCACTCTCCCTGAAGCCTGCACCCTACTCCCAGTGGAATAGCCCAGAATCACCTGCCCCTCCCCTGACTTAGAGTATTCCAACTCCCTGGAAGTCCCATCCCTCACTATGGAGCCCCTCTGACAGCAGTATCTTGTTCCATGAAAAAGGTCATTTTGACAGTGAAATTCAGAGCCAGTCATCAGCACTAGGTATCTTCATCATGTTCTCAAAATGACTTCCAAAGGATCTGGTGAGTATAGTTTGTTGTAGCAAAGAATCTACCAGTTTTGGTGCCACATCCTCAAGGGATGGGATTTTGATATTTGCAGTAGAATTTTAATGGGATTTCTTATTTGAGAATAAGAAAAAACCTCTAATTTCTTCAAAGTGAGTTAATTTTAAATTAAATTTGGATGTAGGGCAAGATGAGGCTGAGGGGGTGAGGGGATTGAGGAGGCTACTGGACACAAACCTATGAGTGAACTCACTTGGTGATTCAAAACCAAAGCCTCTCCTATAAATGACAGATGAGGACAGACCATTGAAATAACTAAGTAAGCAAAGATCTACAGTGCCTCAGTTCCTGTAAACTCTAGACTCCTTCTAGGTGGTAGAACGTGATTCCTTAATACAACCTTTGGATAATAGATCGATCGATCGATCAATCAATCAATCAATCAATAGATAGGTAGATAGAATCTTGGTTTTCAATATGCATAATTGGATTTGTGCATATGTGCAGGCATTTTCAGTAAGGTAGTAGATAGCAGAGAATCATAAGTTAAAATTTTTCAATGCACCAAAAGTTAGGAGAAAATTCTCAGTATATTGAGATCATAGTGGTTATTGAAAAGGACAGCAAAGAACAGCGCTTTTGAGTGAAATATGGCAAACCCTTCCCGCAGAGATTTACAAGGTTGTTTTGAAAAATATATGTGATCCTGTATTGGAAAGCACCTGTTACATAGTAAGTTCTCAACAAGTGGGAGAATTGCAAGGGACATTTGGCCTCCTCAGAAACTCTACGAGGAAATGCAGAGGATTGTTGATGCAACAGATTCTAGTGATTGCTCTCTACTGAGCACCTATTATGTAACAGTTTATGAGAGAGACTACGAGTGCTCATCTGCAAATTGTCTTCCACTCCTTCGTGGTTTGTTGGAGAGCTACATTGCACATTTCGCTTGTAGTTAGAAAGGATCACGTGACTAGCCCTTGCCACTGAAATATGAGCAGCAACAATGTTGGTCACTTACAGGCCAAGGCATTTGAGAGCAAGTATGGCACCATGTTTTCTCTTCCATTCAGCAGCAAACATGGGGACCCTTTTTGGGATGAGGAAGTACAAGATGGAGGCAGCCTAGATCTCTGGATTACCTGATACAAAGATTCCCTGCCAAATTAATCAGATTCTATGTGCATAAGAAATAAACTTTTGTTACATTAAGCCATTCAGATGTCGGGTGTTGTCTGTTCCATCAGCTGGCAGAAAATTATCTGACTCACATAGCTACTATTTCTGTTGTTAGGCTTATTTAAATATTTTAGTGACAAAGCTAATAGTGCTCATATTTTGGGGGCAAAAATTCCAAAAACACAGACAAATCACAATCTCCACCTTTACAGTATTCCTTCATAATTCAGCCACATTTTCAGAGAATGCCACAACTGACAATCTAGTATATTATTTTAAAGCTAATTCTAGGCTTTCTCATACATAGATATTTTATAAAAATATATTAGGATTTTAAAACTTAATGGGTAGTGATATACATATTATTCTGCCATTTGTCTTTCTCACTTAGAACTGCAAGATCTTTTCACGACAACACATATAGATCTACTTTACTTTTATAACTACTCCCATAGCATTTATGTGCCATAATTAATTTAACCATTTCCTTCTGACTGATGCATAATTTGTTTCCCATTTGTTGCCATGACTTATAGAACTTAAATATTTTGAAGATGACTTATTGGGCTAAAGTCTATATTTCTGATAGCAAGGTAGAAATTGGGTTAAAGTGGAAAGTAAGTAGAGGTTGTAAATTTTTATAAATATTGCCAACATTTTATCCCCAAAATACTCTACCATTTCATATTCTCAAAAGTTCATGCATGTGAATACCATACATATATTATTTTATAAATACTCATACATATTATTTTATAAATCAATCTTTGCTTAATTTGAGAAGCAAGGATTAGTCAAAATGACCTGTTGACAGGGAATGGTGCCAGACAGGTCACTTACACTTTGTGAGGGATGAAGATCTGGGCAAAGAGTAACTTCCAGGGTCCGAGAGAGAGACCACATGTAAATCCAAGTCCGGAGAGCTCGGAGTAGGCTGGTAGCCAAAGTTCTGAATCCAGAGTTTAATGTAGGATGGAGAGAAAGTGGGAGGAGAGAAAGTGGAGAGTCTAGAGGGAGAGTCCAGGACAACTCACATGAATAGGCTTGGCAAATCTCTGAATCACCAACAGCTGGAAATTGTATGGTTATCTGAGTAGGGAAGTCTACTGGATGAAAAGACCAGAAGAACCCACCATTCTGTAGAATTCCTCCACCTACTGTTAGGCCAGTATAGCTGTCTCTCCTGGATCATCCAGCAATGTTACTGGTGGATTCTGGGACGGCTACATGTCTTGACTACTCTGGTGGTCCACTAAACCTTTGCCAGTGTATCAGAGCATGGATCTATCTTGATTCCTGCTGGCAACAGGTATTTAGTCCTCTGTGTACAGTGAGCTCTCTCCACTGAGGTGAGGGCTACATGAATGTTAGTGAGTGATGACAGATAGTTGAGACAGGTCAGAAATACCAATAAGCAGTGGAAGGCAGCAAGCAACTGCAAGGAGGAGGAGATTTGAAGGGGGGTACTCTAGTACTAATT